TCGGCTTTCTTTCTCGTGCGGAAGCAACGGAAAGGTGTCTACGTTGGATACTGCGCCGTTGTCGTCATTGTGTTCGTAGACTGGCATGGTCGCTGTGCTGAGCAAGATGGTGCTGTTGAACCTTTCGGTCAACACCTTCATGTATTGTGTACACGGCAGCATGTGTCCGACAGGAATCCATTGGCACTCGTCAAAGATGATTTACGCTGTCGCGTAGACTGAGTGTATGCAGCAGCTTGCGACTGTTTGTCGTGTACCAGCTTCCGAAGAAGGCAACGTCGGTGGTGATTACAATGTCCTTGTCCCAGAAGAAGCGTTCGGTTGTTTTACTGTTTTCGTTGTATTTTAGTTCTGCTTGCGAGTGGCTTTCCAAAACGCTCTCGTCTCCGAAAATCTCGCGGTATATTTTTGAAGTTTGCTTGATGATGCGGGTAAAGGGAATAACCACCACAATACGCCTTTTATTGTACCTTATGGCATGGCGAATTGCCCAGTTGATAGAAGCCAGAGTCTTTCCACCGCCAGTGGGAATAGACATCTTGTAAACCTTGTTCGGCTCGACTTCTGCCGCCTTTTCGCAAACCTCCCGTATATCGTTGCGAACCTCGTCCACCATATTTTTTTCCTTACCTTTAAACTCCTTGTACTTTTTTTCAATCAACGACAAGTATTGCTTGAAGTTTTCGCTGTTGTCGGAATACAGCGGCTTGTGCTTTTTGGTGGAGTTCCATTCACCAGAAGCAGTCCAGTCGGCATAGGTTAAGCTTGCGAGCAGAATACGGAAGTCGTCGCACGCCATGTACTTCATTTGCGGTTTTGTCGCGTATTTCTTTCGGAAGGATAGTGTTTTTGAACTTCAAATGTTCGACCATTTCCTCCGTCTCCACCAAGTCGTCGGCACTTGTTCGTTTCTTACGGTTTTCACCACACGCGAATGTGTTAAGTTCCTCTTTAAGTTCCGTGTCGCTTATCGCCACTTGCTCAATGCCTGTTTTTTCTCCGCGCCCGTGGTGTGCGTAGACAACACGAGAGAGCGTTGAATTTGGAAGTAGGTCGTAAAGCAGTTTTGCGCCGTGGGTTTTTATGTTCCACGAAGTTTTCCTTTTGCTCTTCCCTGTTATGATGAACAGGTATTTTTGCCATTGCGGTGTCAGTTTTCCAAATCATGCGCGAAAGCGAGAACATAAGCTATCGCCTTGTCCACACCCAATTCCAACAAGTTCTCGTAACGGCTTTGGCGTGTTCTTCCCAAGGTTCATGGGGGGTTGTCGGTTGTGCTTTTGTGCGCGTATTTCAAAACCGTTTTTATTATGCGTTTTGAACTGTCGCAAATTTTGCGACACTTCGGGAGTGTGTCATTTCTGGATTGTTTTGCAGCACTTGTTCCACAATCGCCTTATAACCGTCCTCGTCGCCCGAAACGTGTGTAAGGGTAATGCCGCTCTCGTCCAAGAATGTAAGCATCTCCTCGGCAACCTTATTGCTCTCCTCCTCCGTCTGGAAGCGTCCCTTCGGGTTGTAGGGCTTCGTCCTGTCGATGAAGAACGACAGTGCATTTTCGGTGAACGATTTTCGCGCGATTTGCGTCAGCTCGCGCCTGTATGTGTCTGGCGATGTAGTATGCACCAAGCATGAGCGGCGAGTCGGTGATGATGACATCGACCTTTCCAATCAGTCGTGAGATGCGGAAATGCTGGTGTCCCGAAGATGTAGCATTGGTCTTTGAACACTTCGTCATGGTGTTTCCCAAACCTTATCCTTTGCATACTCGGTAGCCAGCTCGACATTTATACCAGCCTGTTTCAGTTGGTAGAAAACGTATGCCGCTCCAGTAGATTTTCCCGCTCCCGGCGCACCGTACAGGTTTACTACGAGTGTCTGCTTGTCGCGTTCATCGTGTTTCGCGTGTGCATCCCTTACGCTCGGTTTTTACCCTTATCGGGTCGTTGGCGAGTGTCCAAATATGCTCGAAGGCGAATGTTGCGGTGTTCACCCTTTCCCTGCCGATTTTTCCGAAGGGGTCGTCGTCCGAAACGGCGAGTCTTACAACGGCATTGTGCGTTTTGTTGTCCGTCTCAATGCGGCTGAGAGTCTTGTCGGCAACGGCGAAGTCTGGTGGAATGGGCAGTCCGTAGGATTCCTGTATCCAGTCGAAGTCAGCCACGCGAAAACGCTTCAAGTCTGTCAAGAACTCCACCAAGTCGGCACATGCTTCGTTTTTCTCTCCCACTATCATTCGGAAGTCCACATCACGCTCCAGCGCGTCCTTGACAATCGGCAACAGCCTTCCATACATACCCTCGTTAAGTCGCTTCGCCAAGATGAACATGTAGTCCGTGGACGATTTGCAGAAAAAGCTGCAATATGACATTTGCGTTTGCTGTCTGCTCGTTTTTGAAAAGCATGCAGTTTTGCATGTCGATGCCTCTTTGCACCTCGTCTGCATAGGGTTTGAGATGTTCCGGAATAAGGATGTCTCCGCAAGCGTTCGCCTTGTCCGTGTGCGGTTTGCCCTTGGTCTTGTTGTAACTTGTCGTATATGTTCTCCCAAAAGCCCTCTCCACCGGAATAGTCTGCGCCGTTCCAGTTGCCGCCGCTCGACTTAATCTCCGTTCCGTTCCACTTGGTGTTGTTCTCCCGCGTCCATACAGTTATTTTATCATTGTTCTTTTTTATTATGATAGGCAAAAGCACACCGTAGACAGGTGTGCATTGCCCTCATCAAACAGACTGAATGAGTTTTATCTGTCGTTTCTCAGCCAAGCGAAGAAATCACCGCCGCTGTTCTCGTCCTTTCCCTCTTTCAACTGCTTGTATTCCTTCAGTTCTTCCTCCGCTTCCTCGTTGGCTTTCGCCAGCTCGCCGAACGCGCTTGCCAGTTCCTTGTCCAGCAACAGGTACGGCTTGGCGTAGAACACCTCCTCACCCTCGCAGTCGCTTTCGCGCCAGATGAATTCGCCAGTTTCAGGGTCGAAATCCACGTCTGTCTCTGGTGTGATTGAGGTGTAGCCGCCGGGAGCGCGGAGTATTCGGAACTCCAGCTCGTCGTCAAGCACGCGCAAATCGGTTTCGCTGGCGTTGACGATGAACCTCACGCCGTATCTCCCGATTAGCTCCCTTATAACTTCGTAGCTGCTGCGTTTCTCCATGCCGTGTATGTTGGTTGTGCCAATTATTCACTGGCGAGTTTTAATGTTCGTCCTCCGATAACCATCACGCCCTCGTCAAGAGCCTTGGCGCAGTTGTCCAAGTCATCGAACCATTCAATGTCGCTCTCTTGAAGCGACACCTCCTCGTAGTCCTCGTACGACTTTTCGTTCGGCTCAAACCGAAGCACTGGTTCCCAACTTCTTGCGCCTGTCTTTGGGTCGAAATACTCCACCTCGTCGGTGTAGGGTTCTGTGTGCGCTTCGCCGCCATTCTCGGCTTCAACGACCCATTCCCTTTCTTCGAGCAAGATGTCCAATCGCGCCCATGCGCGACCTGGACTCCATGCGAATTCCTTTAAGCGTTCGATTACTTCCTCCTTTGTTTTCATAATAGTTGTTGTCTTGAAGTTTTAGAGCAATGATGCGAAAACCTTGGGCATCCGCGTCTGCATGGCGGTATGTTCGCGGAACACGCGCTCCAGTTCGTCAAAGTAAACGCCGTCGATGCGGTCGATAACCTTGCCCTTGCTGTTCATGAAGTCAACACAGTACAGGTCGCGTGCGTCAACGTAGAGGTCGAACATCTGCGCCTTGTTGGAGCAGTACCCCCCGCTTGACCTTGACCCGCATTGCGGTTGAAGTTCTCGGTATCGAAAGAGACGAGAGTGGAACCAGTTACCACCGCGAATTCGCGCCAAGAGTTTGCGAGCGGATAGATGAGCTGGTCGATTGCTTCTTTGATTTCGTTAGTCATGATGTTTTTTGCTTACAGGGATATTTTACACCATTTTTGGGGAAAAGTCAAGACTTTTCTTCATCTTTTTTCGCGGTTTTTTCTTCTTCCTCCTCGCGCATTTTCCTGTCAACAAACCACCGCCAGCTCTCGTAGCCATCGTACTCTTGTTCGCCCTTGCTTTCCGTCCACTCTTTCCAGTAGCGCACGAAGCGTGCGAGTATGTCAACGGTCTTGTTGGGACTCCTCCACATTGCCTTCGTCTGACGAGTAGTCTGCGCTGTAAAACTCGTGTTCAATTACGCCTGTGTTGTCTTTATCACCGTTGTTGTAGGTGTAGAGAATTCTCGTGTCGAGCATGGCGGCAACCGTTGTCGAGCCAGAACTTGATGTAAAGCTCGTCCTCTGGCTCAAAGTCTCTAAGGTTTCCAATCATTGAAACGTGTAGGCGGTCATACTCCATGTCAAAGGCACTGGTTACGGAAAGCCCGCCTTCCGAGCCATAGGGCGACAGCGGAACAATTGGCAAGTCGAGATGCTTGACGAACGCGCCAGTTTTTAAATCCCTGAACGAGAGTAGTGTCAGGTAGTATTTGACACTACCCTTTGAGATGTCTCCCTGATTCATCGAGAGTGATTTGATGACGTCGCCCGCGTCGGGTTCGTTTCCGCAGCCGTTGGTGATTTCCACTTCATCACCCTCGTACATTCCAAGTTTCTGCAAAGCCTTTGCCATTGCTTCGCCGAGTTCGACGCTTAGAGGTGCTTTGACAGACACTGTGAAAGACGCATGTATAGATGTCCAGTAGCTCATAATGTTTTATTGTTTATGTTTTATTGTTTATGTTTTATAATTGTAATCTTATATCGTAAGGGTTGCTGTCGGGTTGGAACTGCGGTTCGTTTCCGTTGGAAGCTGTTCTTCCAGCTTGAACCATTGTCCCGTTTTTTTCCACAATTTTCTCTGGCATGGTAAACTCAAAGGGTGGGTCATCCTTTTTTTCGGCAGCTTCCCTTTCAAGTTCCGCAAGCGTTTTGAAATCTTCGTCCTTAAAACTTTCGTTTGGGTTCATTTTTCTTTTCTCGCGTTGGTTTCTCCGTCAACCCAATCCATGTAGGCGAAGCCGTTTGTCAGCTCCTCTCCCCAAGTGGGTGTGTTCTTGTACTTCTCGCGCAGCTCCTTGAAGTCGGGACATTGGTTGTAGATGCGTTTTTGCAGCTCCACCAGTTCGAGGTAATCTTCCTCGTCGCCCTCTAGCCGTTTTCCTCCATGCACTCCAGCTTGTCCTCAACCGACTCCATTATCGTATGAAGTTCGGTGTTGGTTAGCGTCAGCGTGTTTTCAGTCTTGCCCATCCTCGTTTTCCCACTCTGAAAATACCTCGCATGCCTTTTTCGCACCCTCGACATCGAGCTTGCGAACGGCGTTGACAATGTTGTTGTGAAGCTCGGTAAACTTCGGGCATTGCTCCAGTATTGACGCTTCGAGTGCCACAAGGTTGTCGTAGGGTTCAAACCCCTTTCCGTAATTGTCGCGCTCCAGCCGTGTCTTTGCGTCAACGACTGCATCGTGGATGATGTTGATTTGCCTGTTGGTTAATTTGACAGTATTCATTTTGTCTCTATTCGTTGTTTTCTTCGATGTTGAAAATTTCTGGATTCTCCTTGTAAAGCTGGGGATAGTTCTTGGCGAGCCATTGCTTTACGCTGTCATGATGCCAGAGTGTCTTTCCGTTAAAGCCCTTTTTCGTTAAGCGAGGAAACAAAGACCTCGTAGATGTTCTTGACGAACTCACACTTTGCAGAAAGGGCGGCGTTGTACTCGAACTCTGCGACCAGTGCGCCCTCCTCCAGCGCGTCCTCGACAGCATCGGCAATAACCATTTCTCGTCAATCAAGCCGAGTTCTTCCAGCACGGGTGCGATTTCGTCCTTCATGTGCGGGTAGAAGGCTTTGAGCGTTTCGTGCTGCGTTGAGCGGCTTGTCTGCCTTCGTGTATCGCGCGCACTCCCAGTCAATCACCATCTCGACATAATCGTCATGTGTCTTGCACTTGTCGTGGTGTCGGCTGTGTTTGACGTGTATTGCATGCGCCTTTTCAGGCGGCAGGAAGCAGTTACATGACGAGCTTGTCCATGTCGTGCAAGTACCCGCGCAGCGTATTCTTACCAAGCAGTTGTTCTCGATTTTGAGAAAGGCGAGCTTGTGCCGAAATGTGTACTTGATTTTTTCGAGGTTTCTCATCATACGAGAGAAGTATACCACAGGTTTTCTCCTTCGTCAAGAGATTAAAGTTAATTTTCCGTTTCTTTGCCGTTATTTTTCGCCGTAGCGTCTTTTTTCGTCCTTTGGGGGAAGTTGATGGCAATCTCGTTTTCGCCCAGCACAACGATAATCTTACCCTTTTCCTGCCTTGTGGAGATGGAGGGCCGCGCGGAAATCCGACGGAAGTTCACGATGGTTGTCAAGTCTTTCAGGCTATCATGCCCTGCGACTGCCAGACCGTAGGTTATTTTATCAATCGTGTACGAGTTTTTCGAGCTTGTGTTGCCGTAGTGGGATGTCCGTAACGGTTTCAACCACCTTTTTGAAATCTGTGAAGTATTTGACTGGATATGTCGTCTCAGTCTCTCCGTTGTTGATTGTGATTTCGGACACTTTACCGCTAAGACTTCCGCTAAGCCTTCTGTTAAGCTCCCCTTACAACCATCTCCAGTTTCGTTTCCAGTTTCATAATGTCCTTTTTCCTTTCTTTGATTTTAGTTCAGCAGCGTCCACCCCAACACCTGTCGCGTGAACTGTCGTATCCCGCTTCGTGTGCATCGACAACAAACTTGTCGATTGCCTTTCGTATTTCTGGATTATCCCACATGCGCGTATACCACTTGTCCTCCATTGAGAGATGTGCCGTTTTGATACCAGAGGTTTCCAAGGCGACAGTCGTTCTCACTCTGAGGTCGTCCTCTATTGAACCCTCGTATGGAAACCAGTCTTTGTCATATTTGAGTTCATCGATTATCTGCTCTGCCGTTTCCTCGACGTACTCCTTTAGTTCATCAATGCTGATGGTGTTTTCCTGTCCATTGGCGAGGGCGTGTTTTTGCGTACGCTTCGGTTTTCTACGTGAGTGAAGAACCCCTCGTTTGAGTTGCGAGGGGTTTTTCTTGTGTTTTACAGCGTTTCGGTCGAGTTTGTCCTTTTCGCTACCGCCGAACGAAACCCAAGCGACATCGGTTGTATTGTCGTAATACGAACCCGTTTCGGTTAGTGTCTCGTCCGTTTCCTCGGCTTTCGCAAGTGCTACGTTAATCTTGTTCTCCTCGCACTCGGTAAGATTGATTTGTTCTTCTTCCATGAGTATATTTTAATCGAGTTTCTGAAAAATCGTACAGCTTGGCACGGCAAAATCCACTGGTGATGCCCAGTGAAGCTGTCGTCAAGAGACTCGTTCAACAGCCTTTCGTCCTCCTCGGTGAACACCTCCGGCATAACGGACTCGAAGAACGGAATACGGAACTTGAAGTCTTTGCAAATCTGCGTGAAGAAGTCTGGCGCATTGGTCGCGTTCAATAACCGTTTCGCGCTCGTGCTGCAACGTGTACTTGCCGCCTTCGGGCTTTTCGTAGTAGCCAGAAGAGAGGGTCTTTTCGGTAGTGCCGGAAACCTCGCCGAAGATGTAAGACTCTTGGTCGTAGCGCATGGCAATGTCCTCAATGACCTCCCTGTTGGTATTGTAGACAATGAAGCTGCGCTCCTTGCTGCCATACTTGCCGTTCACTTTCAGGTAAGGGTACTTTCCGACTTTCAGCTCGCCCTTCAACTGTTCGTACCGCTTTTGGTTCTCCTCGTTGGAGAGTTTCTTGCCCATCGGGTTTTCAGGAGAGACAATGCCAACAGTCCTGATGTGGCTTGTGTTTCCAGTACCGAGTGCCCTTTTTCATCTTCTTAGCCCTCGAATTTTCTTTGAGGACTTCCCTGTTATAGAAATCTTTGAAATTCATATCTTGCCTATATTTATTTATTTACCATTTAATACCTGAAAGGAGTATAGCTGCCGAGTTCTTTTTGTAGACGTTGTACCTTGCCAGTTCGTGTCGAGTAGCGAACCTCTCCGCAAATCTCGTAGGGAACGGTGGCGAGTGTTCCCTTTTCGTTGTAGACGGTGAATTCCTTTTCGCCAGCCACGCCCTTTAGAGACTCGACAAGCTTGCGGTCGAGCCTGTGCGCTGTGCCAGCTCCAGCAGGATTGGCTTCGGGCTTCCACACGTTCTGGTGGAACTCCACATCCTTGTCCGTTTCGGAACGCTTTCGACTTCGACTTTTCGCCCGCCACCCAGAAGCGTTTGCAGAAGCTTGACGCTATTGGACGATGTTATGTCGCCGTTGTAAAAATCCTTAAAACTCATGCTTGTATTTAGAAATGCGTTTAGGCTTCGCCGAACATTTTACCCCAGCACTCGCCGCATGTATGCGTCTTTAGCAGTTCGCGCTCGTCAGACGAGAGGAAGTGCAGCGCGTTCTGGATGAGCGCGCCCCCGTTGAGCCATTGCGTGTAGTTCGCATAGGGGATGTCATAGATGACATGTATGTCGCCACACTTCCTGCATCGGACGATAGCGTCCACGAGGAGTGTGTCGGGCGTACCGTCGGCAAACCCCTTCTGCGATTGAACAATGCAGACCTCGCCGTTGAAAAGGCGTTCGGCAACGGAATTTGCCGTTTCCTTGCCGAACGTCGCCGTGAGGTATTGCTTTACCTGTTCCAATGTGTACATTGATTTGATGTATTGATTAGTACATGTGTTCATCGTATTCGGCAGAGCGTATCTTGTAGCTGAATGTCTCGCCGTTCACCACTATACCCTCTCCGTCCTTTCTGGGTGCGTTCTGCCACGCCGTGAGCAGTTCCTTGGTTATGACATACTCGCCGAGCAGGGGAACGGTTTTAAGGTTGTTATAACCCAGTTCTTCAGCCTTTGCGACCACATCCGTAAAATGTCTGCCAGACTTCCAGAAGCCCATTCTTGCGCGGAAATCTTCGTTTTCGGGGAAGCGTATTCCGTATATGTAGAAACCGAGCGGCTTGCTGGAGTCTATGTTCGACTTGTTGCTGTTTATGCCGTTGCCGCACACCTCGCCACGTATCGCTATGGGTTCGCCATAGAACTTGGCGAGTGCCTTGATTGCGTCCCGCGAGGGGAAGCATGGCGTTCGTGTAGTTGTTCTGACACTCCAGCTTCAAGTTGAGTGAACGGCTGTGTACGGAGAGTACATCCGTGTTCGGGTTGTAGTAGAGCGTTCCAGAGCTACCGTCCATCTTGCGGGTCGCAAGCACGGTTTCTCCAAGGTGAAGCTTCTCGTCCATCGAGAGCTTGGAAGTTCACCTCGTCGGACTTCTCCACACCCATCGGCAGACCGACAGCCTTGCGTTCAAGTCTTGCGGCACAGGTGCAACATAGTGTTCTATACCGAGAACCTTTGCCAGTAGCACAACATCCGCTTCCTTGATGTCGGGAGCGGGTTCGCCGTTGGGATGAAGCACAGCCCAGTTGTTCTCCCAATCGCCTTGCAGCTTGTCAAGGGTTACTATGAGTCCAAAGCTGTTTTCTCCGCGCAGCTTGGCGCACTTCACGCGCTCGTGCTTGGAACCTGCGAGGTATGTTCGCACCCCGTCAGCCCAAGTGTTCGTCAGCCCACCGTCAAGCGTTGCGGGTATAAAGGCATCGGGCTGTATGAAAAGCACGGTGTCGCCCTTCTGGATTTCACCCTTTCCCACCACGCACTGCCAGTTGCGTATGTACGCGAACTCCAGCCTGTCCGCATTGGGGTGCGGCTTGACAAAGTTCACGTTTGCTATGTAAGCGTCCGCTATCTGCGGTTCCGTCCATTCTGTTTTCTCGCTCATGTTGATTAGTATAAGTTAAGTTCTTGGTTTACTATGGTTGCCAGTCCAGCCCGATGCTGGTTGTCGCCTTACAAACGTATTGTACCATATCTCCCGCTCCCTGTCAAGTGTTTTTGAAAGAAAAACGGAAAAAATACGTAACCGCAGCATTTAGAACGGCTCTGTGTACCTTATTTTCCTGTCGAAACCGAAGCCGCCCGCCTTCATGTTTTTAAGTATGGCGTTCCTGATGGAAGCGCGTGTCGCGCCCTCCATTGGCTCGATTGACACAAACAGGTTAAGTACGCCGTCGTGCCATTCGTTCCTATATGTGTAGTTGAGTTTCAGCCCGTCGCACTTCTTAAAGGCGTTCTCCACGGCGTGCTGCATGTTGTAGAAATTATCATTCCGTTGCCAGCTCTCGCCGCCTTCGTGTATGTCCTCAACCTTTTCGACTCCGAGAGCAACGACCACCGTTCCTTTCCAGCCCCAGCCTACGGGGTTGAACGGCGAGATGTTGAACCTCATTTGTTTTTCGTTTGCTTTGCTCATATCGGTATTTTAACATGCGTTTGCCTTGCCGTCAAGAAGTTTTTTCAGTTTTTTGTTTGCTTCGCCGATGTACTTTGCGCTAAGCTCGAAACCGATAAACTTCCGTTTCAGTAGGGTGGCCGCCACGGCGGTTGTGCCAGAACCCATGAACGGGTCGAGAATGACATCGTTTTCGTCAGATGATAAAACGATGCAGCGTCCCGTTAGTTGGAGCGGAAATTGCGCCCCATGATTTCCCTGTCCAGATGAGCTAGGCAGATACCAGAAGTCGGAAAGTTTTTTTGACTCGTGTGTTTGGCGACCACCAAGGCTCGCTTGAGTTGTCAAGTATGCACCTTTGTTGAACTTTGGCGTTCGTTTCACAGATAGGTGCAAAATGTATTCTACGTTTCTGCTCACACGCGATTTTTGCGGTTCTGGCATACAAGATGTTTTTACACCAAGAGATGTAGCTTTTGCAGTAATAGCCCAATCTTGCCGCCCTCTCATAAATCCGTTGCGGTATCATGCACTGTTCTCCGTCTTTCAGGTAGGAATGTCCAGCGGAGTACCTTTTAACCTCGTGTTTCTTTCCATGCCCTTCCGTCTTTTCCCGCATAAGCCCTCAAAGTTTCTGCGGCATTGCTCCGCAGTTGCGTCCGTGTGTTAAAGGTATCCATGATGTTCCACCAGATTGAGCCATTCTCTTTGAGTTTTTCTTTCAGGTAGAACAAAACCTCCATCCGAGTGCCTTTATAAACCCCTCTGGCGTGCTTTCTAAACCAAAGGCGCATTTCTCCCGTCTGCCCAAGTTCGTTCCGTGCTGTTGTCGTATATTCGCATTGGCCCAGTATGGAGATGATGTGATTACCGCCTGTATTGAGTGTTCAGGTATCCCCGCCATGAGTTCCAATGCGTCTCCAAGGTGTTTTTTGTTTGTTTCGATTGTGGTCGAAGGTTTGTGTTTTGTGTACGCTCTTAGAAAAAACAATACCTTGCTTCTGGAAACAAAGGTTTCGCCAAAGGCATCTTGGTCTAGTAGTGGCCAGAACGTCTTGTTCGGAGAGTCTGTCTTTCTTTCCCACCACATTGCGGATAAAGGTGATGCCCATCCCAACAACCGCCGACACCAGTTCTACCTCATAGCTTTTCGACGCATCAATTTCTCGTTGGAGCGCATGTGCTGGTGTGATTGGTTTTAGTTCCATTATTTTGGTTGTGAACTTTAGTTATGGCTTCTTGTTATCAATCCACGCTTTCACTTTTCTTTCAAGTGCGCGAGCGCGTGCGGTTGTTTGCGCCACCCTTATCATTATCTCGTGGCGTTCCGCAAGCATGTCGCCTATTTCTGGGAAACGCCCGATGGCAGCGAGCATTTTTTCGTATTCTTCACTGTCTGCACTTGCAAAGATACCAGCCGTGGCATCTTCCAATGCGCGTTTTCTGGTATTCTCTGGCGCGTTTGTGTCCTCGTTGTCGTCATTTGACAAGGAAGCCCACAGCGCGTGGTCGATTACCCGCAGCATCTTTGGAAGTTTTGTTGTGATTTCATCAACAATTGCCACTTCTTCGCTGGAAATCCATTCTTCCCATTCCTCGTTGCACTCGGCGTCGTCCTGCATAAGCCTACCCGTAAGGAAAGAGAGAGTTGTGCGCCTTTCATCAGCGTCCAACTTTGAAAAACGCTTCCTGAACGCTGCGCCTTTGCTCGTCTGTTGCCACCAATCCCCTTTCGCGGTTCTGGGGAAACATGTAATGCGTTAGACTAGTCTGATTTTGTTTCGTTCCTTCCTATTTCTTGAACGGCTGGTATCAACCTGTCAAAGAGGATGAGAACGTTGGTGTTCCCCACTCCCAAGATTTTAAGATTTTGCGCGGTTTCCATAGTTCTTTTCAGAGAAAAACAACCTTATGTTCCGGCGTGCCAGTTCAAGGTTTGCCAAATCGTAGAGTATGATAAAGAAGTCTATGTTGTTCAGAACCTTGTCAATGAACTCGTTTTCGTCAATTCTTTCCGTGGCGAGTATTTCAAGCCCGTCGTACTCGCAAAGTTTTCTGATGTGCTGGCGTATTTCGTTTTTCATGCCGTTCTCTGGCAGTTTGCCAAGAACTTCGCTGCATTTTCTGCCAAGTATATCCTCGCCCCTGTTAGGGAAAGCGTAGAACAGTTCGCCCTTTGTCGTGTTGTGTTCTCTCTTGAAGCAGAAGAAGATGAGTTGCCCCTGCCTTGAAAGACCAATGAAACGCGGCTCGCCGTCGCAAGGAATTTCCTCTACCGTATCTGCGCGCGTATTCTCGTTTTCATCCCTCGCGTCTGTGTGGATTTGTGAACCGAGCGTTTTAATCAGTTCGCACGTTTCAGATATATCGTGTATGGTTTGCGCCAGTTCTTCGCGTTTTGCGGCATTTCGTTTGCAGCGTACAATGCCTGTTCCTGCAATGAGCCGAAAGCCGTTTGCAGCAGCTTTCGCGCGACATTTTCCGAGATGGAGATTTCAGCCATGTAATTATTCTACCACAGTTCTGCCTTTTAAAACGAAAACGGCGAGATTAACTCTCGCCGTTCTCCTCTGTGTCAGTTTCCTCTGCTTCGGTGGTTTCGTCCTCGCATCCGAAAATGGCATCGTGCCGTTCTCTTTGTGTGTTGTAGATATTTCCGTCAGAAGAAAAGTTCATCTTCCAGTAAAGGTTGATTTTTATCCCTTATCGGCAAGTACATTAGCTTTTCAACGATGAGGTACGCGATTTTCTCATGAACCCACTCGCAGCCATCTTCGCAGTATTCCAAGGTATTGCGGAGAATGTAGAAAAGAAGCTGCAACAACATGAACGGCACGCGGAACAACATGGAGAACGGAATAAAAACCCACTTCCAGCGGCGGTGTAGGCGAGTACCTCGCGCTTCACCTTATCGAACTCTATCCGAAAATCCACCACCTTGCGAATATCGTCATCCGTGAGGTCGAACGGCTCCTCTCCCGTGTTCCATGTGATGTCTCTGACTTGATGCGTGAAAAATCACACTGTCAACCTTGGTGTTGGCGAGTTCCTGCTCCAGACTTTTGTCGCCGTTGTGTTCAACCGTGGCGTACTCGTCTCCTGTTCGATAGATACTGATATATTTCTTGCTCATTTTTGTATTCTTTTGTTAGTTGTTTTCGTTTCCTTCACCAGCTTCCATGATGTTAAGCATCTCGCTGACAAAGAAAGACTTTCTCCATGCGTTGTTTCGGAACTCCGACCAGACATAGGTGTCCTTCAGGTTTCCAAACACGCCCCGCTTGATTGCGTCCACCACCTCGTGCGCGTCGCTCATTTCGGCAACCTTTGCGTGTACGAAGCTCTTTATGGAGTCCATTACGATGAACGCGCACCAGATGTCGTTCAGCTCCTTGGCGTAGTATTCAAGCACCTCATACTCGAAGTTCTTCGCCACGATGTCGCTGAACGTGTCTGCATCGAACTTCTCGAACGCGCCCAAATCCCAGAGGTGTCCGACGAACTTCGCCTTGTTTCCCACCATGATGCGTGCAACATGGAGATGATGATGCCAGTTCGACTTCATCTTCTTCAACACCTGTTGCTCGTCTCCGAAGTACGCGACCACGCCCTCCACGCCAGTCCATTCCTCGCGGATGACAGCAGCCATGTCGTCTGCGTTGTCCACGTTGAACGAGTGGTGTCGCGGACGCTTCAAGCCGTACCTCTCGGCTATGCTGTCCAGCTCGTCCTGCTTATAATAGCTGTAATCGGCGTGGCGAACGATGCCCGTAAGATACAGGTCAGGCTCGTTATACTTCACGCAGAGGATATTTGTAGGGGTTACCCACTCGAAGATAACGGTGTAATCTTCACCGAGTTCGTCCAACAGCTTCTTCACATTGTACTTCTCGATAAGTGCGTCAATCTCGTTTCCGTTCGGCATCTGGTGAGCGTCCGTGGTGGCGCGCGTGCGGAATATGTACTCGCCGTTGTATCGGGAGCAGATGAGACACGTTCCGTCAATCTTCTCGATAGCGGTGATGTTGTCGTGGATGTCCACAGGCTCGAACGCGGGGTTCTCGCCATAGTTCACAAACTTCTTGTATCCAAGCGATACGGGCTTTCCATCCGAAATTCGCCAGATGGAGGAACGGTAAATCTTGTCGTTCTCGTACCACGGCGCGCCAACCGCCTTCGTCTCGGTCGGCACGATAAGCACGACATCATCACCGCCGATGTTGCGCTCAAAATACTTGAATTCCTCCTTCTTTCCCTTGAACCAAGGGTATCTTCCAATGTTCTTATTCATGTTCTTTGTCGGAATAACCGTCATTTATTGTCGTTTTTTCTGTAAATGTTCCCCAAGTGCTGTTTGCGTTGCATAGTGGTTATTCTACCACAGTTCTCACGCGAGCTTTTTGAAAAGCCGCTTGAACTGTACGAGCTTGCGGGTTGTCTCGTGCATGTTGCGCCCGCGCATGGTGATAACGAACGAGTCGTCCGTCTCGATGAAATAGGTTCGCATGGCTTCTGCCATCTTCTCCCCATCAACCCTACCGTCCTTGTCGCACAGCATGTCAACCACCTCGCTGAGAAGTTCTTTGTCCTCCTGCGTGGCGTTGTCCAAGTTCCATCCGTTGAGCAGTTCGTCCTTGCCCATATCCAAGGCAAGGGTGTAGTCCTTGTCAATCACATCAATGGCATACTGCGCCTGACGGAAGGAGTTGGCATAGGGGGAGACGGTGAGTCCGAGATGTTTGATGTCCTCTTTCTTTAATCGCTTCATACTTTTCTTGGTTGGTACAAGTGTATTTTACCATATCTGGGGCAAAAGTCAAGAAAAGGTGTAAAATTTTTGGAAAAATGTGTAAATTAGGTGGTTTTTAAGTGGGCAAACGGCGACTAAATCATCCCCATTTGTCTCCCAGAAGATAGATTTTAACGCCCATGTCTGGTTATTCGTCTCCTTAACGCCGCTGACGGCTTTTTCCACCTGTTCCTTTATATTTGCTGGGTTGAGAACATTGTCTGTATTTGCCTGTTTTATCGTTATTGTAATTGTGGCGGTGTCCGTTGCAGAAGCTATGAGAACTTCCAAAAGCGGTGGGTTTGCCGTGTCTGCTGTTGACGCAACCTTGACTTGCAGCCTGAAAGAAGGACGCGGTGTGTTTTTTTCGTGTTGGAAAGGAAACATGGAATATGTGCTGTTTCCGTTTTCTTCCAAGACTTCAATGAGGTCGAAGCCATAGGCGTTTTTGTCTCCTCTTTTGGCGTGGTTGAAAGCTTCCGTATAACTCTCCAGAATAGAGATGTTGATAGTCTCGCCTTGACTTTGAAGCTGCTTCTTTATTCCCTTTTCAAAAACTTCAAACATTTTCTTATTATACACTTGTTCTTGAAAAAAAGGGTCGCCCTTTTTGGGCGACCCCTGTGTTTTAACCTTGTTGTTTTTATCACTTCAGCTCGCAGAGCTTCCGAATGTCGGAGAACTTCTGCTCGCGCTTCACCTCGCCGTTCTCAAAAACGGTTTCAAGTAGGTTTGTCTCGCCCTCGGCAAGCTCCTCCTCCCTGATGGTAGTGATGCCGTTCCTGTCAACAACCGCCAAGCGTCCGCGCTTGGAAGCCTTGCTCATATCGAGCGGCTTCTTCCAAACATCGTGCCATACGTTTCCGTATTTCTGGCTGGAGCATTTGAACGCGCCGCGTATCACATCTCGGTTCAACTTCTGGAGCAAGCCACCACCCATGCCGAACACCCAGTTTTCTGCGGACCAGCCGTTCTTCTTGGAGAGTTCCAGTATCATCTCGATACCGTCATGCTCGATGCCGTCTCCCCAGAGAGCGCGGACCTGCGTAGGCAGAACCTTGTATCCCTTGGAATTGATGGTGTATCCGAAGTGTTCGCCGAGAAGTTCAAGAACTGTCTGTGAAACCTCGGCTACATCGCCGGAGTCTGGACGGAACACGATGCGTCCGTTCCTGCTCATAATCTGGTCGTGGAAGCGTGTGCCGCATGTCTTGATGAACCTCTTGTAGTCGTAGCTGTCAATCACGATTGACAGGATGCCGTCGGGATTTCTGTCCAGAAGGCTCTGAACCACATCGAACTCGCCTTCCTCCCCACGGGAGGTCATGACGCTATGCTCTGTCGCACGCACGGAGTAGGCGGCAATGAAGTTCTCATCTTCGCCGTACCACTCTTTCGGTACTGTCAGGGCAGGAACGGTATCAGTTCCCAAGAAGTTCAACAGGTGTCCTGAACCGCCGAGTGCCGCTGCATCCATCGTCTCAACGCCACGGCAACCGAAGTCGTGCAGGGCGAACGGAATTCCGCTCTTGTCGTCCGCAGTCTCGTCATAGTAGCGGGTAATCATCTCCTTTGCATAGCGCGAGCGTGTGGCGACCGTTGTCGGATACCAAACGTGCGTGAGCAGCGTTTCGATGAAGTTCGTCAACCAAGCGCAGTTGTCGTCCGTGTTTTCCACGGTGAGCAGCGCATTGCTTGTGGGAACGACCGTTCCCTCTTTGATTGCCTTGATGCGGACTGGCAGTTTGCCACCGTGCTTCTCCACGATATAGTCCCACTTCTTGCGGTCGAACATTCCCTCGCCCAAGTGCATGGTGATGAGCTTTTCAGCTTCGTCAACCTTTTCCTTGGTGATGACCTCGCCCTCCAAATACTTTTTCAGGATGCACTGCAAGCCGTAGAAAACCGTGTAGGGGTACTGTGAACCCTTGCGGCTCTCGTAATAGCTGTACACGCCCTGTGTATCGGGAAGATACTGGAAGCCGTGTGAGAACTTATAACTGTCTGTCATTAAAATTAGATTATTCATAATGTACGATTTTCCTTTCTTTTGTTTTTGTTTTTAATTTTGTTTTTGTTTTTGCCTTTTTAGCAATTTCTTGGTGCGTTGAAGTTACCTTGGTTGAGAACCACGGAACGGGCGTAACTATCTTCCTCCCGTTTCTCGTGTGTCAGTTTCCTAACATGCTCTTTCAGCATCTTTAGAAGCGGACGATGCTCCTTTACGACATCCTGCTCGCTAATCTCTGCCAGAGACTTGATGTGAAGCTCGGCAATGTCGTCGGAAGCCTTTGCCACGCCGCCTTTCCTTACCAGTAGATAGAAGGTTGTCATTATCTTCTCATGCTCCTGTGCATAACGCCAATCGTCAATGACGGTTGAACCAATGTAGCTATGCAGTTCGCAATCGAGACATGTTTCCTCCTTCGCTTCGCGGAGTGCGGCATCTTCTACTCGCTTGTCGCTGATGTCCCAGAAACCTCCCACAAAACGCAGGAGCTTTTGACCGGGCTTCTTCGCCATGTAGAACCTGTCGAGGTTCTTGCTGTCTGCAATAGCGCAGTCAACAGTCGGGAAGAAGTTTGTCCAGTTCCTTTGAGTGGAATAGACGCAACCCAGTCTGAAACCCTCCGAGCAGTCGCCAGTCTTTGCGGCAGACTCGCGGATTTCCGTACCAGAGACAAGTAGACGCTGATGGTATTCCTCGCACGGGAATTGACCGCAATAGTGTGCAATGAAGCTATCGCGGCAACCATACATTATAACATCTCGGTCACCCTCGGTAATGTCAAGTATATTACTGTCGAGTGCCTTACTCCAAGCCTCATCCGTGGCGACATCCTTTATATAAAGGATGATGAACTTACTCGGATAGGCTTCTTCTATCATCTGCTTTCTAGCAGTGTAGGGAATTGGATTTTTCTTGGTGCATCTTACGTCCGTAGGCGGCACACCTAAGAACAGAATGTTCTTCTCATGCCCCTTTGACAGCACATAATCCAGTATTTCTCTATGTCCGTCCGTCAATGACGGAACTTGGAATCGACCAACGATTACGCCGATTGAATTCGTGTTTTTATTCATTTCTTTTTCTTTTTGTTGTTTCACGGAAACCAACGATTACGTTTCCGCTTAAAGTTATTTAATCATAGTTCTAAAAATTCTGTAGAACAAATTTCAACAGCCTATGCGCGTCAAGTGTTGATACTGGTTGGCGGTATCGACAACATGCTTTGTGAAGTCGAGCAGACGCGCTTCCTTCTCGCTGTTGTGCGTTTCCACCGCAAGGGGAATGATACACGTTCCAACCTTAACCTTGATGTCCTTGTAGGTTGTGGTTTCGTTTTCCTCATCGTCAGGAGTGTCAAATGTAATCTCCTTGACGAATTCGCCGCCGTACCATGTGCGTGCCAGCGTGATAACCGCCGTGCGCCCATCGAAGTGCGCGACAATGCGGATGGTGTTGTCGTCAATGACTGTCGTTTCGTGCTTTTTCGTTATGGCACGAAAAAAGCACTCCACGATTGCATCCCTTTGAACCTTGTTGATACGCATATCTCAGGAGTTCAACGCTTCGCTCACCACGCTGCGGATGTGGCTGTCTTGAAGTGCGTCCCACAGCTTTGAAGCCGCCACGGGTGCCGCCAGCTCAAGTGTCGTACCGTCTGGAAGCATGAGCGTGCAAACGGCAGGATGCTTCTTGCCGATGTTCTTCCTTTCCACCACAAACGTTACCTCCGTTCCAATCACCGTGCTAAAGGTGTTGTCGTCGGTTTTGGTGTAGTCGTACTGATTGACTTCGCGCAGCATGCGCTTTACAAGCTCACGGTCGTTTTCGTTCCGCTTATTATACTTTCGTTCCTTTTTCATTTTTTTATTATATTTGGTTAGATTTTAGAAAATGCTCCGACAACACGCATGAAGTTTCCCTCCTTCGTGGTGTCCTCCGCTTCCCAGCTCTGGATGGAGATGTGCTGGTATCCGTTCATGCGCGCCAGTTTGCGAACGAGCTTTCGCATGTAGGAGTCGTAGAACTTGGCGTTTTCGCCGTTCAGGTCGGTCGCCTTGTGCGGCGGCTCGATGCCAGCGTCAAACGCAAGGGCGTTCAGCTCGTCCTGAATACCGTCCTTCTGGTTCATCTCCTCGGTGATTGTGAAGTTGTAGAAGTAGTCCTTTTCCATAGCAAGAGTATTTTACACTGTTTTTAGATTTTTGTCAAGCAAAAGTGGCAAGTTTTTTGAAAATTAATTCTGCTTGTTCTTGAACTTGTTTTCGGCGTACCTTACCTTCACCACAGCGGACTGGTTTCCAGCGTTCACGGTAAAGACAACCGTCTTGCCCGACCGCAAGGTGTCGTTCTTGTCGGTCTGCTCGTCCGTGTAGTTGAGAACCCGCGCCCTGCCGTTGAGCGAGAGTGCCGCGTGTGCAAGACCCATGACAGTCTCGTCTACGCGCCATTCCTGTCCCAAGCCGTTTTTGAGCGCGCCAGCCAGCCTGATAAGGTAGAGCATGGCGTAGCTCTCCATCTCGCTCTCGTCTGAAGCCACGCAAGCCACGCTGCCAGAGAAGTTGCCGTTGTCATCGTACAGCAACCCGAAATGACCCTTGTTCGGCTTCTCGATGTAGTAGTCGTCATCTGAAGTCAGGGTGATGTCGAGGTACAACGCCTTCTCGCAACGCGAGACGCTTTCCATGTCGTTCTCGCCGATTAGCAGCATGTCGCGTCCTGTCTCGTCCTTGATTGTTCTTTGAAAAGTGTTCATGAATGTTCTTATCTCCTTTCCTGATGAACATTATACACGACCAGCCAAAAAAGTCAAGCGTGTTTTTAAACTTTTTTCAAAAATTTTTTACTTGGTTTGTCGCGGAACTCCCTAAACTCTTTATTTTTAGAGAGTTATGAGAATGTGGGGTAAAAATCTCGAATGACGCAGTTTTTGTATGGGTTTTTCGTTTTGATGTGTTTTTCAAAGACAAGGAAGTAGCTGTGGCTTTTTCGCGCATGTTTCTGACTCTTAACGCGCGAAGCTGCTGGCTTGTTTTTTCGGAGCAGCACAAAAATGTCGCGGCAGTAGAAACCCATTCCCTCCAGCGCATAAATCAGTTCAACGTGGGTTAGCTTCTGCCTTCCAGCACTCACCTCGTCTTGACACTTGACAACGAACAAACCCCTCTCTTTCAGTATCCGTAAGGCTTCAACGGACGACTGCAAGTAAAGGTTAAGCACTCGGTCATGGTATTTGCAATTGCTGTTGTGATGCGGTTTGGCATCGGAATAGCGTTCCCTGAACGGAGAGAAGTTTCCGTTTCCAGCCATTTGCTCCACTGTATCCCTAAGAAGTCCCTCCATGTACGGAGGGTCGAACACGCAAACATCGAAACTCTCGGTTTCGTATGGTAGGCTTCTTGCGTCCACGCCAGTCTTGATGTCGGATGGAAAAAACTCGAACGCCGTAGTGTCTATGTCTCGCCAGAACACACCCTTGCCGAATGTCGTGTCTGCAATCCTGTCGCCCTTCTTAAAGTAAAGGGAAGCTATCTTTGCAAAAAGCTCTGCATTGTTTCCAGCCAATGCAGAGCAAACAAGGTTTGATGTACTCTCGCCGCCCTGTTTCCGTTTTGTTTTCATTGTGCGTCCGATTTTTGTTGTGCGTCCATGAAAGAGGTTTTTTCATGGATTGCACTAAGCAGTTCGTGCATTGCTTTTAGTATGGCTGCGTCTCTTTCGTGTACGCCCTTGTTGATGTAGTCGTCAACACTATTGTCGTTCGCCCATTTCTTCAAATCGTCTAGCGTGAGCGGCGAATGAAGGAACCTTCCGAAAAGGATACCATCACGCTTATTGAAGTGGACTGTTGTGGTCGCAACTCCGTTCATTAGGTAAACTTGCATGACTGGAATGTTGGAAAGCGTGATTATGTCCTCCTCGGAGTATACCTTTCCAAAGCCGTCCCACCTTACTTCATCGAAGATGGAAACGTCGCCGCCGACAAGACCCTTTCCCGCCAAGCACACCCTGTCGTTGTTGATTATGACGTCATCGCATACCACTACGGAACCACCAATGAAGTCGCATGAGCGCACCTCCGCGTTTCCAGTGATTACAGCCTTTGTGCAAATGCTACCCTCAAACACGCATGCGTTTCCGTTTACCTTGGAATATGCGTAAACATTGACATTGACACCTTCGCCACCGTCGGGAGAACCGACTATTGCGTTTTCCGACACCTCTGCATGCCCAACAACCATTGCATTTGGGTAAACCCAGCATCTTCCCTCTTGCGAGAGATTTTCCTCACTTTGGACAAACCCGCCGAGTTCTCCAGCCTTGATGCTCGACCACAGCGTATCGAAATCATGCAACGCTTTCACGCGGAAAAGTTCTACTGTTCCATCTTTTCTAGAACCGTCTTTAACCAATTCGTATTTCATTGTCGTATGTTATCACCGTTTAGCTGACAAAGCCGATAGACTTTGTTTCCTCTTTCTTAGAACTCTCAAGAAGCTCGTCAATTCCCTTGTCCATATCTTCCGTGGAAAGCTGCTTCGCACGCCGCTTGGCGGCAATCATAGAAGCGTTCCTAACGGCGGCCACGACATCCGACAGGGGCTTGTCCGTGAGTTTTTTCGCGTAATTCCTAAGGTTGATTTTTCCGTGCGGTCGCTTGTTCACCTCCAGCTCCAGCACCTCGGTAATTTCATCCTCGTTGGGCATCTCGACCTTTAGGTGTTTCCCCATTCTTCCGCTGCGGAGAATGGCTGGGTCGATGTTCTCGATAAAGTTTGTCGTGCCGATTACAAGTATCTTGTTGTCGGTGGCACGCTGCAAGCAGCGCAGGAATGACGACACTTCCTCGATTGCATGGCTGTCGGCGTTCCTCACGCGCTTTCTGTCTGGCATGAAGGCATCCATTTCATCAATGATGACGACAGACGGTGCTGTGCGCTTCGCCTTTTTGAACATCTCCTCGGTTTTCTTGGCAGTCTCGTGAATGAGTGAGCTGCCGACAGAAGATGAGTTGATGTGATAGGTTTTCCAGTCGAGGTATTCTGCCAAGCGTTCTGCCGCGTAGGTTTTGCCGCTGCCGGGAGGGCCTTCGAGAATGAAAGGTTCAGGGAAACCGATGCCAAACTTTTCATACAGTTCCTCGTTCTCGACCACATCGATTACGTTGTCGTTGAAGTATTTGTTGAGTTCCGTGCGCCCAGTCAGATGGAATGGCTCGTTTTTCTTTTTCGACTTCCGCTTGGGTTTCTTCTCGGTTTCACTCTCGTCAAGCTCCTCATCATCGTCGCCCTCGTCCTCGTCGCCATCCTCACTTTGGCTGCGGTGAACCAGTGCAAGCTTTCCGCTTTTCATCATTAGGCTCAGATGGTGCAGCACATCGATAAACACTTCTTCTGAAATCACGCCGCCCTGCACACCAACAAGCACGACCGCGCCGAACTCTATCTTGATGAGTGTTTCGAGAGATGAGATTTCACAGTTTGGAGTAACCGCTTTAAGCACGGGAAAACTCTTGACAGCCTTTTTGAAAAGCTTTTGGCAGTCTCCCACTTTTTTGATTGTGCCGTCCTCCAAGTATGGTATGGACGAAATGTGCTTCGCCTTGATGAATTTCGCGTTCTCCTCGAAGGGGTTTAGCGCGTAGAGCATTACTCGGTGCTGGATGGCAAGTCCGAAAAGCTCGGCGTTCTTCTTGGTAAACACCTTCATGATGTTATCCGTGCAAAAACGGAACTCATCAGCCAGAACGTCAAAAAACTCCTCAACTGTGAAAATTGTTTCCAGTTCAAGCCACTCCAAAAGTGCGGACACCTCTTTCTCGGAGGGCAGCTCGTGCTTCTTATCCCGTTCGGAGATGAGCTTTGCAATCATGTAAACGCCATAGACGCTTACCATCATCTCCCTTTGGAAAAATTCCTCCTCGGCGGCTGCGTGGTTTTTGTCAATGTCCGACTGCTTTATACCCCTGATAAATTTTTTGTCGAACTCGGTTGCAAAGCTGGAGAGGAAATCCCTTACTGGGTTATACGCTCCCATTGTTCCTTAATCGATGTCGAAAGTGAAAAGCGTCTTACCGTTCTTGTCGAAGGCGATAAGCTGTGAACAGTTTTCCGTGGTGTGAATGTCAACAGAACCCAAGTCGTCAACTCTCCAGTTCTGGAGGAAGTTAAGCTCCTCGTTGACATCTTCGTAGAAAATCACCATGCCCCCGCTCAGCTTGGCGTAGACGTTCCTGCTGGCGGCAACACCGCGCAAAAAGGTAATCGGAGTGAGCAGTTCGACCTTAAACGAGTCCTCAAGTATTCTTTCGATTTTAGACATTTGTTTTGGATTGTTTGTTGTTTGTTAAGCGTTTTGCGGAGGGAACACGCCAAAGTCGTGCCGTTTCCCATTTTCATCAGTCGCCACGAGATGCAGCTTTTGCTGGTTCAAGATACCGAGACATTTTTCCAGCATGCGGTCGGCATCAATCACCTCATCGGCAAAGTTTTTGCGCTCCTCGAAGGACGAGCTTTCATCGTTGGACTCAATCTCGTATTGCAGTTCAACCATGTTGTGAACGTAGGAAGTCAGAGACTCCTTAATAATAATGAGGTCGTATCGCTCCAGATTGTGCGCCGCACCATCCTCGACCGTTTCCAAGAGTTTTGCAGTAGCCTTGTAGTCCTCGCAGCATGATTCAAAATAGCTGTCCGCGATAGAAGCGTCCTGCTTGCCGCCATCCTCGTATTCTCCGCACATCTCGCCAAGGAGGTCTAGCATGAAATGCTTTAAGGCTCGTTTAAGAATTTCACTTTCCCCATGCGTGAGATGCCATTGGCAAGTTTTCTTTTTTCGTTTGCTCATACGATTATATTAGCATAGTTCTTTTCCTCGTCAAGCCAATTTCTGAAATTTCTCAAAAGAAAATCAATCGAGTACTCTGCGTTGATACCACTGCTTCGAGGATTTTGACTTTTTGTTCAAGCTCCGCAATCCTTTCGTCCTTTGCCTTTATCTGGCTTGCAATGTCGTTCAAAATCTGTTCGTTCTCGTTCATCTCTCAAATTTTCTTCATCACACCGCTAACCATGCTTGCCCATCTGCCGTTTGTGCAATACTTTTTTCCAATGGAAGCAACGGTTGTCCTGTTTTTGGTTGATGTAGACGCGCTTTATCATGGAGAATTCAGACTCGATGCCCTCCTCCACGCTGCTAAAGGCGCGATAGCCGCGCTTGCCGCCCTTCACGCCAAAGAAGTTGTTTTTGTTGGCGCAATGCGTCCCACAACCAGACTCGATGGTGGCAATGGCTGCGATAAAGCGTGCGCTAATACCATACTTTTGCTCCATCTTCAAGAAGAATTCGCCCTTTCCTTTCAACGGGCTTTTCTTATATTTGGCAAAATGCCGTTCCAACTCCTCGGCTGTTGTGTGTCCAACCGCGCAGACATCCATCTTGTTTCCAATCTTCTTCACCTTTGCAACATCTCTCGCTGCGGAAGGCTTTTGAAGTGTCGGCTGGTTCTGCTTGAACAATGCTATGAACGATTGCCGTATGTTCGGTAAAACCTCTGTTTGTTTCTGCTCGCTTTTTGTTGCGACAGGAGCAGCCTTCGAAGCTCTGCTAAATCTGTACCCGCTGTCAAGGGGCATACACCCTGCGGACACAGCCAATGCTAGTAGTATAATAAGTTTCGTCATAATTGCTTTTCGTACTGGTCGCTCGGTTTGAAACGCGGTTTCTCACCGAGCTTAGTTCCGTAGAAACGGCTTTCATATAACGAAGAGTTTTGAAAACCGAAGTCGGGAACAGAATGTATTTAGGTCGCAGACCCTTTCCAAGCCCGCTTCCTCGGAGAAAAAAACATGTAGTCTGGTTGTTTGTCGCCAGTTGTCTTGTTTTCGCTTCCATGCGGGTAGTGTACCACGACAAATGATTTTTGTCAAGTTTTTTGAGAAAAAACTTAAAAAATCCTTGACATGTTCACCAACCACACTCTTATTTTATCATAGTTCTCGTATTTTGTCAGCATGCTCCGTTCCTTGCAAAAGATACCGTTAAACCACGATTGGTCGTGGCTCTGCGTCCGTCTCTGATGTGTTGCCGCCTTTTTCCTTGAAACGCCCTGCAAGTGGAGAATAAACGGCAGACAACTTATAAACCGTGTTTCAACCTATACGCAGCCACCCCGCACCAATACGGGTCGATTTCAACGCCTGTGAAGGACATACCTAGTTTTTTCGCGGCGACAAGCGTGCTTCCAGAACCAGCAAACACATCAAGTACATTTCCACCAACGGGGCAGGAAGCCTTGATAACCCGCTCCAGCAGCTTTTCGGGCTTTTGAGTCGGATGTGTCGTATTTTCGGGCATGCTCCAGAACGGAACGACAATATCAGTCCAGACATTAGGAGGGCATGTCAGCCTGAACTTGTTTCCATCGTCATCAACATCCCAGTCCTTATTGCTGCCGTCATCGTTGTGGTATGGGCAAATCACGGTTTTCAAAACTCTTCGTTATATGAAAGCCGTTTCTACGGAACTAAGCTCGGTGAGAAACCGCGTTTCAAACCGAGCGACCAGTACGAAAGCAATTATGACGAAACTTATTATACTACTAGCATTGGCTGTGTCCGCAGGGTGTATGCCCCTTGACAGCGGGTACAGATTTAGCAGAGCTTCGAAGGCTGCTCCTGTCGCAACAAAAAGCGAGCAGAAACAAACAGAGGTTTTACCGAACATACGGCAATCGTTCATAGCATTGTTCAAGCAGAACCAGCCGACACTTCAAAAGCCTTCCGCAGCGAGAGATGTTGCAAAGGTGAAGAAGATTGGAAACAAGATGGATGTCTGCGCGGTTGGACACACAACAGCCGAGGAGTTGGAACGGCATTTTGCCAAATATAAGAAAAGCCCGTTGAAAGGAAAGGGCGAATTCTTCTTGAAGATGGAGCAAAAGTATGGTATTAGCGCACGCTTTATCGCAGCCATTGCCACCATCGAGTCTGGTTGTGGGACGCATTGCGCCAACCAAAAACAACTTCTTTGGCGTGAAGGGCGGCAAGCGCGGCTATCGCGCCTTTAGCAGCGTGGAGGAGGGCATCGAGTCTGAATTCTCCATGATAAAGCGCGTCTACATCAACCAAAACAGGACAACCGTTGCTTCCATTGGAAAAAAGTATTGCACAAAACGGCAGATGGGCAAGCATGGTTAGCGGTGTGATGAAGAAAATTTGAGAGATGAACGAGAACGAACAGATTTTGAACGACATTGCAAGCCAGATAAAGGCAAAGGACGAAAGGATTGCGGAGCTTGAACAAAAAGTCAAAATCCTCGAAGCGAAGTTGCATGAACTCGAAACAGACAACGATTGATTTTCTTTTGAGAAATTTCAGAAATTGGCTCTTGACGAGGAAAAGAACTATGCTAATATAATCGTATGAGCAAACGAAAAAAGAAAACTTGCCAATGGCATCTCACGCATGGGGAAAGTGAAATTCTTAAACGAGCCTTAAAGCATTCATGCTAGACCTCCTTGGCGAGATGTGCGGAGAATACGAGGATGGCGGCAAGCAGGACGCTTCTATCGCGGACAGCTATTTTGAATCATGCTGCGAGGACTACAAGGCTACTGCAAAACTCTTGGAAACGGTCGAGGATGGTGCGGCGCACAATCTGGAGCGATACGACCTCATTATTATTAAGGAGTCTCTGACTTCCTACGTTCACAACATGGTTGAACTGCAATACGAGATTGAGTCCAACGATGAAAGCTCGTCCTTCGAGGAGCGCAAAAACTTTGCCGATGAGGTGATTGATGCCGACCGCATGCTGGAAAAATGTCTCGGTATCTTGAACCAGCAAAAGCTGCATCTCGTGGCGACTGATGAAAATGGGAAACGGCACGACTTTGGCGTGTTCCCTCCGCAAAACGCTTAACAAACAACAAACAATCCAAAACAAATGTCTAAAATCGAAAGAATACTTGAGGACTCGTTTAAGGTCGAACTGCTCACTCCGATTACCTTTTTGCGCGGTGTTGCCGCCAGCAGGAACGTCTACGCCAAGCTGAGCGGGGGCATGGTGATTTTCTACGAAGATGTCAACGAGGAGCTTAACTTCCTCCAGAACTGGAGAGTTGACGACTTGGGTTCTGTTGACATTCACACCACGGAAAAACTGTTCACAGCTTATCGCCTTCGACAAGAACGGTAAGACGCTTTTCACTTTCGACATCGATTAAGGAACAATGGGAGCGTATAACCCAGTAAGGGATTTCCTCTCCAGCTTTGCAACCGAGTTCGACAAAAAATTTATCAGGGGTATAAAGCAGTCGGACATTGACAAAAACCACGCAGCCGCCGAGGAGGAATTTTTCCAAAGGGAGATGATGGTAAGCGTCTATGGCGTTTACATGATTGCAAAGCTCATCTCCGAACGGGATAAGAAGCACGAGCTGCCCTCCGAGAAAGAGGTGTCCGCACTTTTGGAGTGGCTTGAACTGGAAACAATTTTCACAGTTGAGGAGTTTTTTGACGTTCTGGCTGATGAGTTCCGTTTTTGCACGGATAACATCATGAAGGTGTTTACCAAGAAGAACGCCGAGCTTTTCGGACTTGCCATCCAGCACCGAGTAATGCTCTACGCGCTAAACCCCTTCGAGGAGAACGCGAAATTCATCAAGGCGAAGCACATTTCGTCCATACCATACTTGGAGGACGGCACAATCAAAAAAGTGGGAGACTGCCAAAAGCTTTTCAAAAAGGCTGTCAAGAGTTTTTCCCGTGCTTAAAGCGGTTACTCCAAACTGTGAAATCTCATCTCTCGAAACACTCATCAAGATAGAGTTCGGCGCGGTCGTGCTTGTTGGTGTGCAGGGCGGCGTGATTTCAGAAGAAGTGTTTATCGATGTGCTGCACCATCTGAGCCTAATGATGAAAAGCGGAAAGCTTGCACTGGTTCACCGCAGCCAAAGTGAGGATGGCGACGAGGACGAGGGCGACGATGATGAGGAGCTTGACGAGAGTGAAACCGAGAAGAAACCCAAGCGGAAGTCGAAAAAGAAAAACGAGCCATTCCATCTGACTGGGCGCACGGAACTCAACAAATACTTCAACGACAACGTAATCGATGTGGTCGAGAACGAGGAAACTGTATGAAAAGTTTGGCATCGGTTTCCCTGAACCTTTCATTCTCGAAGGCCCTCCCGGCAGCGGCAAAACCTACGCGGCAGAACGCTTGGCAGAATACCTCGACTGGAAAACCTATCAACATCAACTCATCTTCTGTCGGCAGCTCACTCATTCACGAGACTGCCAAGAAAACCGAGGAGATGTTCAAAAAGGCGAAGCGCACAGCACCGTCTGTCGTCATCATTGATGAAATGGATGCCTTCATGCCAGACAGAAAGCGCGTGAGGAACGCCGACAGCCATGCAATCGAGGAAGTGTCGTCATTCCTGCGCTGCTTGCAGCGTGCCACCGACAACAAGATACTTGTAATCGGCACGACAAACTTTATCGAGAACATCGACCCAGCCATTCTCCGCAGCGGAAGAATGGGGAAACACCTAAAGGTCGAGATGCCCAACGAGGATGAAATTACCGAGGTGCTGGAGCTGGAGGTGAACAAGCGACCGCACGGAAAAATCAACCTTAGGAATTACGCGAAAAAACTCACGGACAAGCCCCTGTCGGATGTCGTGGCCGCCGTTAGGAACGCTTCTATGATTGCCGCCAAGCGGCGTGCGAAGCAGCTTTCCACGGAAGATATGGACAAGGGAATTGACGAGCTTCTTGAGAGTTCTAAGAAAGAGGAAACAAAGTCTATCGGCTTTGTCAGCTAAACGGTGATAACATACGACAATGAAATACGAATTGGTTAAAGACGGTTCTAGAAAAGATGGAACAGTAGAACTTTTCCGCGTGAAAGCGTTGCATGATTTCGATACGCTGTGGTCGAGCATCAAGGCTGGAGAACTCGGCGGGTTTGTCCAAAGTGAGGAAAATCTCTCGCAAGAGGGAAGATGCTGGGTTTACCCAAATGCAATGGTTGTTGGGCATGCAGAGGTGTCGGAAAACGCAATAGTCGGTTCTCCCGACGGTGGCGAAGGTGTCAATGTCAATGTTTACGCATATTCCAAGGTAAACGGAAACGCATGCGTGTTTGAGGGTAGCATTTGCACAAAGGCTGTAATCACTGGAAACGCGGAGGTGCGCTCATGCGACTTCATTGGTGGTTCCGTAGTGGTATGCGATGACGTCATAATCAACAACGACAGGGTGTGCTTGGCGGGAAAGGGTCTTGTCGGCGGCGACGTTTCCATCTTCGATGAAGTAAGGTGGGACGGCTTTGGAAAGGTATACTCCGAGGAGGACATAATCACGCTTTCCAACATTCCAGTCATGCAAGTTTACCTAATGAACGGAGTTGCGACCACAACAGTCCACTTCAATAAGCGTGATGGTATCCTTTTCGGAAGGTTCCTTCATTCGCCGCTCACGCTAGACGATTTGAAGAAATGGGGCGAACGACAATAGTGTTGACGACTACATCAACAAGGGCGTACACGAAAGAGACGCAGCCATACTAAAAGCAATGCACGAACTGCTTAGTGCAATCCATGAAAAAAACCTCTTTCATGGACGCACAACAAAAATCGGACGCACAATGAAAACAAAACGGAAACAGGGCGGCGAGAGTACATCAAACCTTGTTTGCTCTGCATTGGCTGGAAACAATGCAGAGCTTTTTGCAAAGATAGCTTCCCTTTACTTTAAGAAGGGCGACAGGATTGCAGACACGACATTCGGCAAGGGTGTGTTCTGGCGAGACATAGACACTACGGCGTTCGAGTTTTTTTCCATCCGACATCAAGACTGGCGTGGACGCAAGAAGCCTACCATACGAAACCGAGAGTTTCGATGTTTGCGTGTTCGACCCTCCGTACATGGAGGGACTTCTTAGGGATACAGTGGAGCAAATGGCTGGAAACGGAAACTTCTCTCCGTTCAGGGAACGCTATTCCGATGCCAAACCGCATCACAACAGCAATTGCAAATACCATGACCGAGTGCTTAACCTTTACTTGCAGTCGTCCGTTGAAGCCTTACGGATACTGAAAGAGAGGGGTTTGTTCGTTGTCAAGTGTCAAGACGAGGTGAGTGCTGGAAGGCAGAAGCTAACCCACGTTGAACTGATTTATGCGCTGGAGGGAATGGGTTTCTACTGCCGCGACATTTTTGTGCTGCTCCGAAAAAACAAGCCAGCAGCTTCGCGCGTTAAGAGTCAGAAACATGCGCGAAAAAGCCACAGCTACTTCCTTGTCTTTGAAAAACACATCAAAACGAAAAAACCCATACAAAAACTGCGTCATTCGAGATTTTTACCCCACATTCTCATAACTCTCTAAAAATAAAGAGTTTAGGGAGTTCCGCTTATTATACTTTCGTTCCTTTTTCATTTTTTTATTATATTTGGTTAGATTTTAGAAAATGCTCCGACAACACGCATGAAGTTTCCCTCCTTCGTGGTGTCCTCCGCTTCCCAGCTCTGGATGGAGATGTGCTGGTATCCGTTCATGCGCGCCAGTTTGCGAACGAGCTTTCGCATGTAGGAGTCGTAGAACTTGGCGTTTTCGCCGTTCAGGTCGGTCGCCTTGTGCGGCGGCTCGATGCCAGCGTCAAACGCAAGGGCGTTCAGCTCGTCCTGAATACCGTCCTTCTGGTTCATCTCCTCGGTGATTGTGAAGTTGTAGAAGTAGTCCTTTTCCATAGCAAGAGTATTTTACACTGTTTTTAGATTTTTGTCAAGCAAAAGTGGCAAGTTTTTTGAAAATTAATTCTGCTTGTTCTTGAACTTGTTTTTCGGCGTACCTTACCTTCACCACAGCGGACTGGTTTCCAGCGTTCACGGTAAAGACAACCGTCTTGCCCGACCGCAAGGTGTCGTTCTTGTCGGTCTGCTCGTCCGTGTAGTTGAGAACCCGCGCCCTGCCGTTGAGCGAGAGTGCCGCGTGTGCAAGACCCATGACAGTCTCGTCTACGCGCCATTCCTGTCCCAAGCCGTTTTTGAGCGCGCCAGCCAGCCTGATAAGGTAGAGCATGGCGTAGCTCTCCATCTCGCTCTCGTCTGAAGCCACGCAAGCCACGCTGCCAGAGAAGTTGCCGTTGTCATCGTACAGCAACCCGAAATGACCCTTGTTCGGCTTCTCGATGTAGTAGTCGTCATCTGAAGTCAGGGTGATGTCGAGGTACAACGCCTTCTCGCAACGCGAGACGCTTTCCATGTCGTTCTCGCCGATTAGCAGCATGTCGCGTCCTGTCTCGTCCTTGATTGTTCTTTGAAAAGTGTTCATGAATGTTCTTATCTCCTTTCCTGATGAACATTATACACGACCAGCCAAAAAAGTCAAGCGTGTTTTTTAAACTTTTTTCAAAAATTTTTTACTTGGTTTGTCGCGGAACTCCCTAAACTCTTTATTTTTAGAGAGTTATGAGAATGTGGGGTAAAAATCTCGAATGACGCAGTTTTTGTATGGGTTTTTCGTTTTGATGTGTTTTTCAAAGACAAGGAAGTAGCTGTGGCTTTTTTCGCGCATGTTTCTGACTCTTAACGCGCGAAGCTGCTGGCTTGTTTTTTCGGAGCAGCACAAAAATGTCGCGGCAGTAGAAACCCATTCCCTCCAGCGCATAAATCAGTTCAACGTGGGTTAGCTTCTGCCTTCCAGCACTCACCTCGTCTTGACACTTGACAACGAACAAACCCCTCTCTTTCAGTATCCGTAAGGCTTCAACGGACGACTGCAAGTAAAGGTTAAGCACTCGGTCATGGTATTTGCAATTGCTGTTGTGATGCGGTTTGGCATCGGAATAGCGTTCCCTGAACGGAGAGAAGT